TTTTTTAAAGAATTAAATTTAAAAATATATGGCTTATATAAATATTGGGTTGTTGTATACCAAACAAAAATCTAACTATTCCAGTTTATGTTTGTTTATGAAAGAATTTCAAAAAAATAATACAGGGTGTTAAAATAGCAAGGCCCTTAAATGGGTCCGATGTTTAGTAACAACGCTGTATATTTTAAAATAAGGAACATGTTATTTTAACAATTGTCTAACAAAGTTTTTAAAATATAAACTTTTTTAAAAATATTTCGTAACAGTGAACTATTAATTTAAATATTTGATGTTATTTATTAGCAATTTATTACAAAGTACAAATAAATTAATTGTAACTTCAATATTTAATATATTAGTTAAACTTAAAACATGAACATAATCATAGCCATTTTACATATTAATTGCATCAAAAATATAAACGGCACTTCACAAATACCTTGACGTCAATTAACCGCCGGATTTTAATTCAAATTCTATGAATTCATATAAAAAATTACTGTATGTTTGAATAGCAATCCATATTTATGTCATTTAATATGTAAAATGTGCATGTCACCAGTGACTATAATTGGATTAACGGGACTAGTTGATGATATTCGGTAAGTTTGATCAATTCAAATCGTAGATATGGTCATATTGTTTATGTTATTACAGATTATCCTGGCACAATTTACTGACACCTAACGAGGTTCCTCATTCAATTAGAGGATTAGTGTTATTTGATAGTATGAGAGTAATTTTCTTATAATAGATTTAACGTCATCAAGGATGTCCTTAATGTACGATTAATATCTGAATTAGTATACCTATACATTTTTTACGTTAGTAAAGTATTTTCTAACTATTACACCAAAGTTTGTTTTATTTTAATAATAGTACTATAATAAAAACCAAATAGTGCTATAATAAAAAATAATAATTGTATAATATATATTGTACACTGTGCACTCTTTGTAAAAAATAAATTATATTGTTAAATAATATGTAACAATGTTTGGCCAATATTTATGGTTTAGTTTTGTATTGAGTTTTGTGTTTGTATAATTGGTTATAATTGGTAAATGTGATCAACAATATAATTTATTCACATGTTTAAAACCAAGTTCAAATACTATAGAGCTACCACAATATTGCTACCAAAAACGTAGCAAACAGTTTCGGGAAACATATTGCAAGGTCAACCCTACCTCACCTGATACAGAATTGTATAAAGAATTTTGTGGCGAGGTGAGTTTCTTATTATTATATAAATTTTTTATTTATAAATAACTTGCTAATTTTTACAGATTGAATGCGAACAAATCTTAGATTGCGATGTCCATTGCGATAACATTGTAATAATAAATAATGTTACTAGTAATGGGTGTTGCCCAGCGTGTGTACATTTACTAGGTAATTTATATAATTCTTAACCATTTTAATTAGTTTACTTAAAATGTCCATTTTTGTAGATGAAAATCAGGATTGCCAAGTTGGAAATTTATTATTCCGGTGCCCCAATGGGCTTATCGATGAAAATCAGGATTGCCAAGTTGGAAATTTATTATGCCGGTGCCGCAATGGGCTGGAGTGCGATGCATCCACCCGAAAATGTCATGTCCCCAAAGGAAGTGACCCAGCTAAGCTGCCCAAATGTCTTACCGAGTATCATAATAGGGAACTGGTGGCTAATGATAAAATTAGTTTTTATGTTAAAAGTACTAAACCCGGTGAAATCAGTTATTACGCTATTGAATATATACAAGATTTAATAGACCTACCAGATTGCGATCACATAACCGGGAACTATCAACTTAAACAATGTCGCCAAGATCAGTTAGTATTTATAAATAGAAAAATATGATTAACATATAATTACTTATAAAAGGTATAAACTTTAATTAATATACTATACTTTAATTATTATATTATACGCAAGGTGCTTTTGTGTAAATCCTACTGATGGTAAATTCACNTCAGTTAGTATTTATAAATAGAAAAATATGATTAACATATAATTACTTATAAAAGGTATAAACTTTAATTAATATACTATACTTTAATTATTATATTATACGCAAGGTGCTTTTGTGTAAATCCTACTGATGGTAAATTCACGTTTGGACTAACACAAAGACATATGGCCGAAAACGTGACATGCACGTGCTCTGATCATTTTAATAAGTTATTGGTCACTTCTGAAAATACCCTAGAATATTTTTCAAAAATACACCAAAAATGTGACAGTGGCGGAAATTGGGAGCGCCTACAGTGCAATAGTGGTATATGTTTCTGTGTTGATCCAAAAACTGGCAAGCCTACCCCTGACAAAGCGGCATTGTATGGTGCACTGCAAACATTAGCATGTTGTAAGCTATCAATATTAATTAAAATTATTGTTATATTGTTTATGTATATACTAAAATTATTATATACTAAATAGATTTTTAAATAAACTAGGTAATTTAATGTAATTAAAATTAAATTATTGTTATTTACAGTTGATCAAGGAAATAGTAAAAAATTAAACACAAAGGAGTCGGATACTAATTATTTGAATGGATGCGAAAAGTTAGTATTAGGTCCGGAGTCGTATGCATTAGAATTTAAAAAACGCGGTTATAATCCCAAAAATATGCAAAAGGTTGCATGCTCAGCTGATGGCAATTATGCTACGAAACAATGTGATCGAGGTAAAACATTTATCACCACTACACCTGATGTTTGTTACAAATTATATAAATTTTATTACTTTTTATTTAAAAAATATTTTAAAAATAACCTAACCTAACTCTAATTTTAAATTTTTATAATTAATCACATCATTATAACGCACTCTAGAAATATGTCAATGTGTCAACCCTACTGATGCCAAAACCCTTGGCAACGCTCGGGTAGACAAATCGCAACTTAATGGTCGGGACATGACATGCCGGTGCGCATTACAAAACTACCTTACTCAATACGAGCTACAGTCATACCGGGAACTAGCATGCGATCAGCTAGGTAACTACGATGCCTACCAGTGTGATGAGGGGGAACGGTGTTATTGTGTCGATGAGGATGGTGCACCTATCACAAATGAGGGTACAATGAATTGCCTGGGTCAGTTTTTAAAAGACTACACAGATGCCAACTTGAATACGGACCAAATTTGTTTGATGCTGCGTAAAACTTTGAAAGATTCACTATTGACCAAGGGTAAGGTCAATATTTTGTTGCTGGATTCAGTTTGGAAAATAGTTTCTGGTGATAAGCCTGTTGGGATTTATAAGTGTAATAAATAATGTTAATTATATAAAAATATTAAATTTACAAATTTGATAAATTTTAATTAATTAATAATATAAATAGGTAATTTTAAATGTGTAAGTCATATACATGTATGAATAAATATATGCTAATTCAAAAAATTAAGTAAATAATTTATTATGAAATACAGGGCGGCCAAAATATGGCAACCCTACTTTGATTTTAATTTATTTAAATGCCATCTTGTTTATTTTATCCATTTATTTACTAAATTNCATATACTTTAAATTGGCTTTAAATAGATTAATTTTATCATGATTAGTTTAGGAATTATTAAGGTTTTTACCAGTCAATATTGTTACTGTGCTTTTTCTATGACTAAATCTAATGTATTTTCAATGGAAAAACCTCTTTTTTGTAAACTCAAATTGCGCAGTTACCATGGTAGATTTCTACACCAAATAAAATTTTTTACAAACCGAGAAGTTGAGCTATAATACTGTGAAGAGAGGATTAGGATTGGATTATCCGTTTTAGCAAATTTCAAGCCCATAAAGTTAACTAATTCCACCAGTGTATATTACTGTATTATTTTATTAATTATTATTAAATTTAAATCCGGATCACTTTGTATTTAAACTAAATATTATTATATAAATCAATATTTGGTAATTAAAAATGGTCGCATATGATAACATATTACACCATAATAATAAATATCAAAGTCATCAATTTATCATTTATTATCTGAAATTATGTTTATAATTTTTGTAATAAATAATTTCAGATGTTTATACAACATTTATTTTATATTAGCTTTATATATTTTTATATAAAATTTTGTATTAATAGATTAATATTTAATTCAACAAATAGTTTTATAACAATTTTTTCTGAATACTCTTTTTATGTAAAAATATTTAAACTGTTCAATTTACACAAGTATTTACAAATACTTTTTAATTTTTCAATGATACCAACAAGGTCATAATCATTTAGAAATATTATACGACAAATAAAATATATAGTGCAGTACAATCATAAATCATATTTAATTTGACATAAGTTAATTGTAAATTACAATGTCAATATTATAAAAATACTTTAAAACCAAATATTAGCTATTTATTTATTACATAATAAATTATTTTTATTATTAGTGCCACAATTAAATATTATTAAAATTTTAATTAATTATCTATTTGTTTGAAATAAACATTTTATAAAGTCTAATATTATCATACTTATCATACAGGGTGGCCAAAATATGGCAACCCTACTTTGATTTTAATTTATTTTAATACTAACTTGTTTATTTTATTCATTTATTTACTAAATTGTAGCTGGATAGTTAGGGTT